ACAAAATTTTATTACATTTTTGTTTACTGACCTGATAAAATGAGGTGTTCTCTTTAATGAGTCACTAAACTTTTTTAAAAAGCTTGTCTCTTTCAGAGTAGGTGTTTTGATGTTAAAAACAACATTTCTGTGGCTTCTGTTTATGTACAGGCCTTTTCAAATAGTTCATGTCAAATATCCATAGATAAACATTAGCCTACCCTGTTCTGCAGCTATCTTTATCTCGTGGAGATCCCAGTGTGTGTTTTGCTGGTTGAAAAGAAATTGTTCCTTCATAGTAATGATGAGAAAGAAAAGTCTTGAAGCCTACACAAAAAAAGGTATTAAGCAGCATTAAGTCATTACAAATCCACATCGCGAACACCTGTGTATACATCCTTTGATTGTTCCTTCTGTAAGGACTGCAAAACAATAGTTGTTCTCCTCAAGCTCACAGCTCTTCGTGTTATGATGTTTTTTAGACTGTAAAGGACAAGGAAATAACCCCCCCAACTTTTTATCATTTGCCAATAGAGCCATTACTTTGTTTGACATCTTTAACAGCCAACTAAAAATTTTAGCTGTACTGCTGAATCTTAAAATTAGCCTACATGACTTGAATTCCGCTTTTGTGTCTTCTTTCCCTAACACAAAACAAATCAAAGAAGGCAAAAAATACCTTCCAGTAGCATAGGATTTGTCCAAATATTAGCTGACTAGGCTAAGCCACTCGGCACTCTCTATAATCAGTGCTGGAAGAAGGACAAAATTAACAATTAATTTCATAAGCCAAATGTCCAAGACAGAGAGAAGAGTGCCTATCTCTCTCTGACTGAAAAGAAAGTAAAAATTATTAGCACAGAAAAGATATTACTTTTTAGACAGCTACCACTAGGTGACATAGAGCAACACATTTCTATTAACAACACGGAACAGCACTAGCAATTTTATTAATAAAAAAAGCTTATTAAACAAATTTGAATTAGGGTTGCTTCCAACATAATTTATAACAGTTCAGTATAAACTTTTTACTTCTTTATAAAGCTCATAGTATACTTAAAATATTAACTATCAGTTAATAAATTAACTGTGCTATATAATCAAATTCAACACAATTTTAGTGAGCACACTGTTAACGTTATCCCCCAAGTTATGGAGCTTTACATAATGTGATCCAATGTACTTGGTACCACAAGGAGTTTAAAATCAGGGTCAGTCTGCCTCTTATGTTTAAAAGCTTCAGAGAAGCTTGGTTTGCAGAAAGCACATCAACTGCTCCAATATATTTACATGCTGACAAAAGAATGTAATAATTACATGTTACCTGAGTAGTCATATCTCATCGGACCCATCCACCGCTTCTTTTCACTATCTTTTAATATATCTCCATAAAAACCATAACCCAGCAATGATACAGAGTATTTCAAAAATGTGTTGTTATGATGTATAGAAGAGACATCCAGAGGCTGACAGTCACCTATGAAGATTAGAAGTGCAAGGTTCTATTAAGTCTTATTTTGTCTGCAGCTGCAAACATGATAGTAACTTTAATGTTACAGATTCTTTAAAAATTAAAAAATGTATGTTGTATTTATGTCATAACGTTTATATGTCATTCCATATATATTTCTTATACATGCAGAAAGGGAAAATAATTCTGTAATACTAATTTCATTTAATATTTAAAAAGCATTAAGCACTAAGGGAGAAAAAAGGTCGGTATGCTAAAATATATAATGAAGAATTTACACTCATTTACCATATAGCAGTAGGAGGAGATGTTATAGAAGAGATCAGTGAAGTATCTGTACATCTACCGAATCCTATATGTCACACTAGCAGAGGATAATTCAAGCTGGAAGGGGCATTAGGAGGTTTCTCATCAAATCTCCCACTCAAAGTAGGTTCAGCTATGAGGTCAGATCAGGTTACTCAGGGCTTATCCAGTCACGTCGTGAAAAACCGTAAGAACATAGAGTACACCACCTCTCTAATGTCCTCATAGTGTAAACTTCGGAGTGGTGGTGGGATTTGGGGGTGGGGAGTGGTGGTGTGTGTGTGTTTGGGTTTTTTGTTTGTTTGGGGTTTTTTTTGGTCTTCTGTTTCACTTTATGCCCATTGTCTTTCATCCTTCCACCATGGACTACTGTGAAGAACCCTTTACGTAAGTGAGAACCACTCTTAAAAATCGAAATACATGTGTACTAAACACATTTAATAATCCGGCTGAAATACTATGATATACTCAGTCCATCTCTCTTTCTAATCCTAGTTCAATGGCCTAAACTCTACATATGCCGAACAGATTTAACCATTGGTTAGTAAGGGAGAAGCACATGTGTGAACCTTTGCAACACCAGCTCCTAAAACTGCAACTGTTAAGCACTCAATAACAAGTGATAATGAAATAATTGTCACTCGGAAATTCTATCCTTTATGCTTACACAATATCATTGTAACTGAAGACTACCTTGCACAATTTTTCAAATTCAGTATTAAGAACTGGGTGACTCTGATTCTTCAGTATGTGGCAAGATGGGATGGACATCACAAATCACAATGCACTGATTATGCTGAGCTGTCTGCTTCAGCTCCTGTACAGTTCAGGGACTCCATTACTAGAGGAGTTTGAGAAGTGGCAATGTCAGTATCCCTACTTGTGACAACACATCAAGAAGCACTTACTAAGAATAGTTCTTTTCCTCCCTAGTTCCTCCTCAAATATGACTTACAGATGGTAAAAATGGGCAATCATCAGCTAATTCCAGTAAAGCAGAAGCCATACTTCTAACTTGGCATGGAAGCATTGAATTGCACAGGACGATTGGGCAACTAGCACAAAATACTACTATTCAAGTGTACATGCACTTGTCATAGCTTTCTCTAAGAAAGAGATAGTCCAACAATTTACCCTGCTTATTGTATTTTACTGCTATTTTCAAAAGCATGCCAGAATGCATGAAAACTTAAGCACCAGATATAAAATTTCAAAACATCATGAACCCTTAAAATGATGAATTACAGTAGAGAAAGCAATTCTGTATTTCAAATTAGAGACTTAAATCCCAGACAAAAACTTTGTATTTCAACTCAGACATTATGTTCAAATTATATTTCACAAACATATAGAAAGAACTAAATGGTATTACTATTTTTGGCTATTTTAAGAATTTTCTTAACAAAACAGTGAACTGTGACCACCCACCTACAATAATATGAAGAGCTGATGTTACTGGATCAGAAATGCCAACAGTTGAATAGCATATGCAATCTGTTGATCCTGAAAAATAAAAACCTAGAGATTAATTCATATCTTTTCAAAACAAGTATTACTGGCATAGTCTTCCAAATTGGCCTGCCCCCTTCTATTTTATGGAACAAAGTAAATATAAGGATTCAAATATTATTCTTTAAATTGTAACACTTCCCCCCCTCCAATGAGTAGAATTTATTTCTCTCCATACAGAGTACAAAGATTTTCACTATATAAGCAATACATATATAGCAGTTAGTAAAGGGAAGTAAGTTAATTCACATGAAAAATTTCAGGATTACATTACAGCTTTTATATCAGTTAAGGATGGAGGGGAAGGAAGGCATACGCTGGTTCTCCTTTGCTTAAGATTTCTTACTCATTGAGATTTCATAAAAAGAAGTGGACCGGTCTCCTGTTTTTTGGGGAGTGATCTAAATTCCAGACTGTCAACATCCCCTCCTCCTCCAGCTACATCTTAAACCAGAAACTCCTGCTTAGTTCTATTATTTGAAAATTAGCAAATACTTGCTTTCAGGAATTAGTTTATAGATAGGGGAGCAAAGTGAATAGAGATGTGCCTTTAGCAAAATACCTACAAGAAGAAAGGGGGGAAGCTTATGTTTTACCTACATTCTGTCTGTCTTACTAACTACCTTCAGGCCACTCCTCACTCAGTATCTCCACTCAGTATTTTATGTGCTTTATACAGACAGGCAATTCTCCCTGATCCCTAGAAAAAAACAATCTAAGAGCTTAACGTAGGGTTCTGAATCCTACTCTGCAGCAGGGACTTGAAAGTCAGAGCCAGATATACCAAAGCATTTTTGTTGCAGCATCTAACTCCAAATCTATCTTGTAGTTTCTCCCATCCCTTCCCTGAAATTGAATTCCTTTAGAGTCAAGGCTGGGTATCTGAAAACAAAAACTTACTTTGTCCACATGTATGTTCTCAGATTTGCTACCGATACACTAGATGTAGAGCAGCTCAGATACAGAGTAGTTCATTTCTGAGGCCTAATCAAATTGAAATGGAAAACTAAAAACGGAGGAATGAGCAAACACTATTTAAAATCCACTTATGGTTCTTTCTCACTTTGAAAAGAGTCAGGGCATATGCAGTTATCAATAGGAGCAAAGAAAATCCTTTCCCCTCCAACTCACTTGTCAGGAAATGGATACCACTTCCCCTACCAGTGAAGGGCATGAGAGAAGCTTCTATCAAGTAAACGTTACGCAGAAGCCTGCCACAGTGAACAAGCAGCAGCTCCAGGAGCCAAATAAAGAAAATATAAATACAACAGAACTGCAGAACAAAAGAAGCAGTGTGACTAAAGAGATCTCTCTCCTACAAGGTTGAGGTTCAAGATGGCGCAAGTGTACCATTACAAGCATATGCCATTGCACAGGAAACGGGACTCCAGTTTCTCTCGGTATCATAACAGACAAGGTACACACATGATGTCACCATGCCACATTTGGAGTTTTTTAGCAGAAAATATTAAGTAGAGTTCAGATACTGAAGCTATGCTTTACTGCCAATGTTTTCAGTTTCATTTTGCCTCCTACACTCGTGAATTTCAGTTAGGCAGAAAAGAAAATTCTCACTACTTTTGAGAAGAAAAACAAACAAATAGCCACTAAAAATAGCCACTGAAAGATCAGACCTGAACTTCTACTGCTGAATGTACAAGCCTAACACTTCATGCAATCTTTCTCCTTTCTTCAAGATCTGTTTCTAATCTGCTCCTAGAATTACCTTGGTCACATCTGTCTTGATGTAAACAGAGCTTCCAAGTAGTCTTACACTATAGGTAGGAGGGGAAGAGAGGAATTCATGCAAGCTACACTTTAACACTGCAGGCTTATCTTCCTATACTCTTCTGTAGCCAATTAAAAGCTGATCTGTCTGTTGGGCAATTATATAGAACTTGTTTTAATTTCTATTCATTAACTAGCAAGGGAGGGCTAAAATTAGATCTGAAGTCTTAAATTAATTCTGAGGTTCTAAAATGGGAGAGTGGGAAAGACACCAACAGTGTTTACCAACTGTCAAATCATCCCTCTCTCAGACATGCCAGTGGATCACCAACTAAAAACTGTAAAATCTTATTGCTTTTTTCCTCTCTTGGAGCTGGTTGCTCTCAGAGCCACAAAACTGGTATTATTCCTTACACGCATTCCAAGAGAATGTAAGTGGTCATAACACCACACCAAGCATGAACCCAGCAGTACTGGTTTAAAGGTCACAAAAATGTTCATGATGATTAAGGCTTTGAATCTCTTTGAACACTTCACAACCAAACAGGAATTCTAGACCATTAGGTGGGTCCTGAATAGATTTGGAATCTACCGCTGCTGAAACAGCACTCCGAGTAGATGTACATGCAAACCCCACCAAAATCTGGCATATTTCACGAGTATAAACCTGATATGGAAAGCAGGATTGGAATGTAAATATAGCTTGACTATATTTATTGACTATATATCAATCCCTTGATTAATAGCTTAGAACTGCCAGAGCACTCAGTTTGGGCAAGAAGCTTTCATAGAGCATGACTCTTGACTAACGTTAGGTACTGGATGTTGTTTGTTCTGGTTAAACCAACAGAAAAATTATATACATACTCTGCCAGGTTTTCTTCAGGGATTTTTAAGGGCAACAGCCTAATTGAGTGAAGGAAAATAAAAGCAGTTTTTATGGGCTGCACAGAACTACATGCAAATGTGAAGAAAATAGTTGGAGTGCTTGTTAACTGAGCCCTAATTCATTAAAAAAGAAAGATCTTCAGTGTGGAAACTAATTTTTGCATTGATGTGCTAGAAAAGAAGAAAATCGGTATGCAAGGGAATGATTAAGTTTCATGTTAAGACACTTAGAAGTAGCTACATGTGTACATGTAACGCTGCAGACTATGTCAAAGCTTCCATTCTGGTCAAGGAGATCTTGTCAGGAATGCTGACAGCAGCTTGAGCTTGACTCAAGGTACTCACGCACAGGCCCCATTTGAAGGGCCTTAGGAAACAAGACACCTGCACAACACAGGCAGATGCATCAGAAGATCTACAGGCTCTACTAACCATATTGATCAGATGCCCTCTGGCTATAATATGAGTTGAGATGCCCATCTCACCTGCAGACACCTAAATGTAAGCATGAAAATTTGAGTATCATTTTCAAATTGAAACTCACCCTAAGGAGAGTAACTCCATTACCTAAAATGACACCAACCACCAGTGTTCAAGTGCTGCGGATTACTCTGCTTGGGTTCCAACTGCTACTCTAGTACAACAGTTGTCTTGCCTAGAGACATTTCAACAACAGTGGCACCATACTACCATATGTAGATAGCCAAATCCCCAACTAAATGTCTGAAATCTCCCAGCTAAAGAAAGTGCTCACCCCAGATATTTTGATATCAAGAGCCTACTGAAAATATGAAGCATATAGAGGGCACATCAACTAGTCTTTGTTAAAATAAGTATAATTACTTTGAATCTTTACCACACATTATGTACACTAGAGCCCTGTTTCATTACCCATTTTCCCCAAAGTCTGTTATTAAGAGGTATCATACATCCACTTAGTTGTATATAGTCAAGTTCTTCTATGCTCGTTCCCTCCCCAGATGTAAGCACAGTAATTTTTTAAATAAATTTAATGATTTAAAAATTATCAAGGAAATCCTTCCTTTTAATTAAGCACAAGGAGAAATGATCAAAATACGTACTTCAAATATTAAAGAGTATGCAGTCCCCATAAAACACTTTTGCTAAAGCAAGATTAAAGAAACCAAAGTGATGGACTGCACTACATAGAATACAGTACAGCTAGATCACCAGATTTTGCCTTTGCATGCAAATATTTCTGGATATTCGTGAAGTAGACAAGTCATGCAGACAGATGCTCAGACACCACCTCACAAGCTTTAAATTGGTCATCGAACCACCAAAGCAATGATTTAGTGGTTGTATGGAAGAGTTCATGCCATTGATTCTGTGGACAAAAAAACCCACCAAAACCCCCCAAACCAAAAACAAAACAGCAAAAAAAACCCCAAAGTGCTAGAATTAATCATCTGAAAAATGGTTAGACTAACTTAAAACTAAGTTTTCTTAAACCAAAACACATGCATACTGTGGTCTGTAAGTATTCATTTTTATGCTTTTATTGATGAAAAACTAAACAAATTCCAAAGAGCTGGAAATACTAAACTAAGCAGATGACAGAACCAACAGTCAGCTAGATGTTGATCCTATAGAAAAGAGTGAATTTAATAAAGAAATAGAAATACATTTAGTGCTCATGAGCATTGCTGCATGTGAGATACCCTTGACAGGGGCAGGTGCTCCCACAACACACACAGAATTCTCAGAGACGAATTAGTATGGCAACAGGATTCTGTACTGCAAACGGGTAGAATAACAACTTCAGCGGGGGTCCTGTACGTTTGCAGTATTTCTGTGAAGTCACAATCCATGCAGTCACCTCACAGATGAATTATCAGGTGAGTCATGCTAATGACAGAGTAACTGCATAGTCTTGGTCAAGTAGCATTTAGTATTTTGAAAAATCTAGATGGTGACTTTTCTGGGAAGTCATTTTGAAATGACAAGGATCTGACACATTCATAAGTAAGGGGAGAAGCTACTGTTACAGGGAGAGATGAATGGACTGGGCATACAGTCACATTCCTACCCGAAGTTTTATACACCTTCTTTTCTGCATCCAGAAAACAAGAAATCAAGCTTAACATCTGCAGAATGACAAACTGGCTTAAAAAGGAACAGTTCAGAAAGACTTTGGTCTGGGTTTTTGGTAGATAATCACTTCAGCAGAAGTTCAGTAACACAGTACAACAATGGATAATACAATAATGGCAAATTTCAGAGATGAAATTAACAGCACAGGGAAAAGTAATCTTGACTTAGTTGTCTTCATAGCAGCCCCACCATATTAAATGCAGTGTTTAGCTCTAAGACTGTCATTTCCAGAAGTATAACGGATTTAAAATGCTGAAGGAGGAACACAAAACATTGCACTTCAGATTTCAAACTGGACATACTGAACCTTGAAATGAGATGCTAACCAAACTGCAAAGATCATTTAATGTTACAAACGTTGTAACAAAGGTGGGTGTGGACACACCACTTCGAGTCATTAAAAAAAAAATTAGATAGCTTTTTATGCTATGCTTTAACACATTTTCAAAGAGAAATTTTACAGCCTAGGTGACAGTCGTATGAGTCCAGTCATGCCTCATGATTTTACTTGCATCTGGTTAAGTTTGTGAATAAATCCTCCACCATTCTTCTACACTACCTTCACATAAGAAGCCTGTGCTGTCTTTAGCTGTCTTAACTTCTACAGCTACACACCAACATGCTGATTATAATCATACTGCATACTTCAATTCTAGACATTACAGAGCTCATACCTTGACCACAACAAAAGTGACAAGGATCTGGATATACTAGAAGCCTAAATCACTATAGCAGTTAACAATTTGTATCTACACTTTACTCAGTCTTCCCTAGTGCTTGGAAGACTTTTCCCCTACCCCCAGAGTAGGCTGGCAGACTTGACTTTTGGAAGAATGAATGTATTAATATTATGCCACAGCACAGAGTGAAGTAGGATTTTTTTTTTCTGCCTGCTGAGATCATAAGAGTATTTAATCTAATCTGTTCTCTTTTTGCTAAAGAGTCCTCTGACAGCAGTTGACAGCTTTGTCCTCCTGTTCTATGCCAGGTTTAGTAAGAAGAATGAATTACTTTGGCTTACTCCAGTGGGTATAATTTTAATACTAAAACAGGTGGATGAAACCTCAGTGCCACATGTTGTAAGAGAAATGATTCTCTGTGTTTAAGTTCTACGGAGGCATACTACCACTCTGAATGCAGTGGGAAACCATGGCCGAATGTGCTTTTAAAGGTAGATGGCACTAGGAGGAAGTAACAACTAAGCAGAAGTTTTCACAGGTGCACTGACTTGCAGTTACCACATTGCAGTGCAAAACTTTGCCAGGTTGTTACAACCTCTAAGTACTCTTAATAGCAAATCTGTTTACCAACAGCAATCAGTCAATTTACACTGACAGATTTGAAGAATGGCTGCAACTAAGAGAAATACAGAAGTTAAAATTGCCATATGAGTAGCAGCCTTTATTCATGTCAACAAAAACACAAGTTATTTCATAAAAATGTACCGTAAAGTATAAGAATAAATTATATTTTTAAACCAGAAGACACACTAAGGAAAGATGCTGTCTGGAAACAGGCACATCTGTTCAAAAAAAAAAAGAAAAGAAAAAAAAAAGAAAAAAGGGGGGGGCACAAGTAGGGGCTTGATGATTCAAGTTAGAATCACGATTTCCAAGTAGCATCCAACATTAACTAAAAGAGCCTGCACAATGGGATTTTGCTTATGAAATAAAGCTAATCACTCAAAAACAGTCATGTAAATTGACAATTTCCGAGCAAAGATTAAGTCTGCTGAATTGAGCGTTAGTTTGAATACATAGACTGTTTAATCACAGCCACACACTACAACCTGCCATGTTTCTGTTAACACAGCTTGACATTAGAAACTAAATGAAAAAAGAGGCAACAACACTGATTCAGTGTCACCTTACACCAGGCTCCTGTCCTCGCTGAGTAAAGTGTCTCCATGTATCAGAAGACACACAGAGCTTTAGAACTTAATCTCTAAACTATGGATAGTGTTTGTTGTTGTTCTTATGATTTTAAGAAAAAGGCTGGTTATAAAGAACTAAAAAGAGCATCATGGATTAAGTTTTTCTAGATGCATGATTTACATTTCATTAGTCCTTTTGACTTGCTGTATTTTAGTTTAAAAAGTCTTTTTAAGGATCTCACTTATTTTGGAACAGACTTCTTGCACTAGTCTGGGAACTAGGGGAACTGTTGGGGTCAATACATGGTCAGAGCTCCATTACATCAAGCAGATGAACAGAGAACAGCTTCACCAAGGGCTGGAAAAACAAACTCTTGCTGCCTTCCTGACCACCCTGCAATGCATGGGTTTGGCTATTTCATACACAATTTAAGGTCCCTGTGATGGTTACATGTGCTAAGAAAAGGTTAAGATTTGTTCAGTGATTTGACTCCCTTTTTCAGTAAATAAGCACTTTCCCATATTTCCAGTAATGGATCATTTTAAATATTGTACAATATACAAACAGATCAAGACATGTATTACCATCTGTACTTCCAAAAACTTAATTAATAGAACTTCAAGGCCAGCTTCCTTATATATCATTCTAAATAGTTTTTGAGGGATCTGAATAATAACTTGGAGAAAATATCTGAATCATAGCACTGATTACAAGGCCGCACCTCATGTTAGTTCAAGGAATAGAGCATGCAGTATACATCCAAATAGCAAACAGCTACAACAGACAACACACAACAAACAAAACACTAAAGTATGTAAGAAAGTGACTCGATACATGTTAGCAATATTAAAATATCAGTGAAGATCATACCTTTTGGTTGCAATTGGAAAAAATGCATTAAGAAATTGTTGAAAAACCAAGGTTAATCTTTCAATTTTAACATGCTTATAGTTAATTTCCTAAGGACAAAGAAATAGTTCTTGATATTGAGGTTCTGTTTTTTCAATTGTATCTTCTTATGGTCACTAACATCACCAGTAGGCAAAATCTTCTGAAACCAACCATGCAAGCAAAAATTTTTACTCCAAGAAATTTGCCCAAATAAGGGGAACAAAGGGTAGAGCACTTCAAATTCTATTCTTGTTAAGTTTATTATACAAACTGATTTTAATACAAAGCTTTAACAAATATAATCAGAACATAAAGACAGTAATTCTATTATACAGAATGTTGTTATCTATGTTATACAGAACCCTTAATGTGCTAGCTAACAAGGAGAATGAAAAACCATAAGGGGATATTAACATTGCAACTTTTAGATATCTAACCTTTATTGTACTGCAAGCAGAAAGGGTTAACCTTCTTCCAAGCAACAATTCAGACCATTTGGGTTTGGATACATTCCTCACAAAGATATAAGTAGTATAAAATTAGTCACCAAAAGCCTGAGAGTACAAATATACTATTTCACTTTGTGTATTTTTATAACCTGTGCTAAATTTTCTCAAGAAGTCTGTGTTTTAGTTCTAGTCAGAAGCTCAAAATGTTTATTTGAATTAAAGAACTGGTATATGAATCTCAAGCATCTGACATGAAAAAGAGAACAGCATAGAAAAGACACCGAACTGTCCATTTGTCTTTCCACAGAGTCCTCAGAATTGCAGATGCTATTAAAACACTGAATCCAGTCCTGGAAGAGAGAGTCATCTTTTAAGTCCACTTTTGAAGGAATCTAGGGGACCAACTGGGCAGAGTGAAGTAACACCTGGGACACTAGATTTAACAGCAAGATTGATCCAAAGAGTGCCTATGGCCAATAAAAAAAAAACCCTGTAAGTTTATCACCAAAGACCTGGATTCCAAGAATGAGTTGTCTCAAATGCCTGTCAATGACAGTGGTCAGGATTGCCTGAAAAAGTGGTTGACACTGAGAACTGTGAAGGTATAGCACCTCTAAAAAGGGGCAGAAACTGCAACTTAGTCTGGAACCTGAGGACGGTTCCTCAGCTGTAGTTGCCTTATGCTTTCTGTGATGACAACTGGAGGGGTGGGTGGGTGGGGGGAAGTAGTAAAGGAGAAACGTTAGCATCTGTTTGGAGTTTGCCATACCAGTAGGAGGTTCTCATTACAATTCTAACTAAATTTGTGGAGCATCTGGAACTGGAAAAATATTTATCAGGTAAGCCTCTGTTCAGTAAATTTCACCATTAAAGTGTTCAGATGGGCAAAAGTATTGTTGTCAACATCTTATCTTACACTAACACACAATAAGCCACTTAAAAAAAGTAATTAAATTCTAAAGTTGCGCGTTAAGATTGATTTCCTTTACAAAGTAACTTTCCTAAATAAAATTGCATGTGATCAATAATAATACTGAGATACAAACAGCTTTAGCTAGGTGTCTTTATGGAATATCATTGCTCATATCTTACACTTAGGCCCAAATTCAAGAAGTTATGAATAAGAAGAAATTTCAAGAATAAATGAATAAAGTAAACTGAAAGTTAACCCTTTCTTACCAGCAGG